CTGCCTCATCGCCTTTGATAATGTCCACCGCAGTTGTAGACGAAACGTCAGGAAGAAATTCCCATAGACCACGGCTTCAAAACCCGGAAAACATTCCTAAATGTAAAGCTTAAATTGGTCAATTCTGATGGTTTCAGGCTCCAGACAAAAAACCTCCAGGTTCTTGGCCGAAAAAGGGGCAAATTGAGTTCATCGACACGACGATGAGATACAGTCCGCACGATGCCCCAGTTTTGAAAAATCTGGACATTATCATAAAACCGCAGGAAAAGGCAGGTTTTCGGTTTTTTCGTGCTTTGGTCGCATTGAACGTTTTGAAATGCCCAGATCGGGATCGTTGGAAGAACCGGAGCTGGAAAGTCGTCGTTGATCCTCACCTTGTTCCGGCTGGCGTACTTCGAAGGCGAGATCTACATTGACCATTTGGATATCAGCGTGCTCGGGCTTCACGACTTGAGGAGGAAGATCTCCATTATTCCTCAAGTGCGGCTGGAAGCATCAAACACAGGCACATTTATGCAGACTTTGCCTGCAGGAACCGGTGGTTTTCCACGGCACTTTGAGGTACAACCTGGACCCGTTTGATGAGCACACTGATCAGGAGATGTTATCCGCTCTGGTGGATGTCGAAGACAAGGATGCCATCTCTAAGGGACTTGGTAAAGCCCTAAAATTCCTAAATCTTTTTGCTGATTGATCAGTTGCTTGTTGAAAAGCGTGCCTCGACAAAGTGATGACTGAAGGCGGGCAGAATGTGAGCGTAGGGCAGCGGCAGATGATTTGCTTGGTGCGGGCCATACTGAAGAACAACAAGATCCTGGTTATGGATGAGGCCACTGCCAATATGGACGCTCAGACGGACAAACTCATTCAGAAGACTATCCGGACCAAGTTTGCTCAGTGCACTGTTTTGACTATTGCGCATCGGCTCCATACGGTTATGGACTCGGATAAGGTGGGATTTTTGCGCAAACATGCGGCTTTCTTGAACAATTCAGCTGCAGATTCTGGTGATGGATGCGGGTGAAGCTGTGGAGTTCGATCATCCCAACATACTGCTGCAAAACCCTAAAGGATACTTGTCGGAGCTGGTCAGGAAGACTGGCACTGGAACAGCAGCTTTTCTGAAGAAAACTGCCAAAGAGGCGAGTGGGATTTTTTATTATTTGAGGGTTTTGATAGTTGAAGCGCTTTAGAACTACGAAGCTCGACAGAAAACGCGCCAGATTTTGGAGCAAGACGGTGCGGATTCCGCGAGGTCCTCCCTGTCTGATTTGGCATGATCCATTGGCTGGCGAGCCTGATTTTAGTAAAACCCCGGAACTTAAGAAAATAGTTATATATTGAATATGTAAAATACATCTTTGCCTAGCCCTTAACTAAGTGTACAATGACTAATTAGTGATTTTCCGCAGCTGCGCCCTCTTAGCCTACCTGCCTATATACAAAAGGAAATCGTACATCCTCCTGAGGATCTCTCTGTACATAAAGTGTACAAATAACTCAGACTGTGTTTCTCCTTATGTTTAAATACAAATACAAAAAATACTAAAGAAAAACGGTTGGATACACATCCACATGATACATTATCTCTACCTACCTGGCTTAGTTTAGCTTATTGACTATTACAGGTCAAATTGTACAGATACTGGATATTAGTTGCTGTGAGGCGATTGTTAAACATGAGCTATCAAAAATATAGTTTGTACATCTGGAGTAGCATAAAAAGTGGCTAAGTGAAAATGCTTGGAATACTTAAGGCGGCAAAAGCTGATTGAAATGTTCCGATCCTACTCTTCCTAGTCCTCCTGGGCAATTTTGTGAAGAAGCGCGTCGCAGGTTTTCTTCGCATCCCCCAGTAGCATGGAGGTGTTGGGCTTGAAGAACACTGGATTGTCCACAGCAGCGTAACCAACACCTGAAACATTTATTACGGCGAAGAAGACATTTCCACTGAGGTACAAAGAATTCTGCAGAATTCACCGCCCACCTAAAGAGCGCTTCATAACAATCACTTGATCGGACTTCCAGACGTTCAGCACGGGCATTCCAGCAATGGGAGAATTGGGATCATCCACTGCTGCACTGTTGACTGTGTCATTAGCGCCGATGACCAGCACCAGGTCCGTTTCATCGAAATCTTCATTAATTTCCTCCATTTCCAGAACATCGTCATATGGAACGCCGGCTTCAGCCAAAAGCACGTTCAACTGCCCGGGCATTCTGCCTAAAGTAGAAAAATTCGCTTGTCTTCATTCTTCGCAACTGGCCACCCACAGAGAACTGGTCTAGTCGGGACTAGAACTCCTCTAGAAGAGTCTAGTTGTTACCTGCAACTGGATGAATGGCAAATCTCACATTCTTCCCCTGCTTCTTCAGAAGATCGACCATTTCCGCAATTGGATACTGGGCTTTGGCCACGCACAGCCCATACCCTGGCACGATGATGATGTTTCTGGCGTTTTTGATCACCTCAGCTGCTCCATCGATGTTTATCTCCGTATGGCTGCCGGTGATTTCCATGGGCTTTCCAGTGCCGGTGCTTGAAGTGCCGTAGCCGCCCAGAATCACGTTGGGCAAGGAGCGATTCATGGCCTAGAAACCCCTCCAAACTCATTCTCCTCTTAACCTTGGCCACCAAACGCACCTTGCACATGATGTACGATAAAATAGCTCCAGAGGAGCCGATCAAGGCCCCCACAATGGTCATCAAGTTGTTGTTCAACATGAAGCCTTCGGCGCAAAGCGCCCAGCCTGAGTAGCTGTTGAGGACGGTGATGACCACTGGCATATCGGCACCTCCGATAGCTGAGGTGAGGGTCACGCCCATCACTGTGCTTAAAGCTGCTGTGGTCCCCAAAGCGCTGAGGCCTCCTGCTAAAGTGGGATCGTAGAAGAGGTAGCCGCCCGCTGCGATGTTGCTCAAGAGGAGCGCGGAGTTGAGGGCGTGGCGTCCTGGTAGGAGCAGGGGGCTGGACTTCAGCGCCCCCTGCAGCTTTCCATAGGCAATCAGCGACCCACTGCGAACAAACTTCTAGACCCCAAAGCAAACTCCGAATGGGTTTGTACCTGAAAGTAACGCCCCCGATGTAAGTTCCCAAGAACAGGGCGGTTTTAACCACATTAGCGGCCGGGTCGGTAGCAAAAGTGGGAAAGTCGTGGATGTAAGTGGCTATGCAAGTGAGCACTGCGGCCATTCCGACCAAACTGCGCAAAAAAACCCAAACATGTTGATGAAGGAACTCTAGGTTTGATTGGCCCAGACCTGTGGAACGCTGCCACCAACTGCGGGAGATCAGCAATCTGAATCCGCTTGGCAATTATGGATCCCAGAGCGCCGCCTCCTAGAGCTACTGCGGCCATTTGGGCCAGCACCTCATTGCTGGGCGCTATTTGCCCGAGAGTGGCCGCTATTCCCCCGGTCACTCCAATCTGCAACACTCTGCTGGTATGCGCCCTAGTTCTACACTAAACGCTTACAATTCCCAAGCTGTTCCCTAATCGGGCAGTGGCCTGGCTGCTCAATCCCGCCAAGGCCCCCACGCAACACAAAGAGGCGGCCAAGTAGGCGGCTTGGTGCACTTCGGCAAGGCCTGACATTGCAGCATATCCGTAACCGCCTAAAAACACTGCAGCTGGGATCCCGTAAAGGATATTGTAGTCTGGAGGATCTCCAGGTCTAAACGGGAAAAACTGTTAGAGATTGCACATATTAGGCAATTGAATGTGAGTTACCTCCTGAACATATCGAGCATTCGTTTGGTGACCAGGAACCCGCCGAAGACGTTGATGAAGGAAACAAAGGCCGCCCCAGCTGCCAGCGCCTAAAGCACGCACAATTACCCTCACCCTATTGGGAGCAGGAGGTAGGAGACTTGCCTCTACAGAATTCGTGGGGCAATAGCCCCCGTTCATCAGCAACAACCCGCCAACGGCGGTTATTCCAGAAATGGCATTTGTTACCGACATTAGGGGAGAATGGAGCGCGGGAGTCACTCCCCAAACGGTGTGGTAGCCAACTATTCCCGATAAGCCCAGAACAGTGAGCATTGAGGTGAATTGCGGATTGGGAGAGATGGCGCCTAAACCCACTAGTCCTCCCACTCCTGCCACATTAAAGCAAAAAAGGCGATCAGTAAGACACTTTTTTGCTGTAGGTAGTATTTACCGGCCGTTGTGATTAACGCGTTGTCCATGGTCTTCTTGAATGGACTCAGCTGCACCTCTGCCACCTTGGCCGCCTCCACTGCCGCCTTTTTAGGGGCTACAGCCGCTGGCGGGCCTGCAGGCTTTGGAGGCGGCCACAACAGCTTGCCTTTGTCCAAAACGATACTGCCGCGCACCACTTCGTCGTTGAGATCGATGTTGAAGTGGCTGTTTTCTCCTGAAAACATCTGCGTAACATTGGAGTGTTTATGACGTTGATCAGGATCATCCTCACCAATTGATAGCAGAAATTTGGAAATGTTGTTGGCGTATAATGTGGAGCTCTGAGTGGGCAGCATACTGGGGAAGTCAGTCAGCCCAACGTGCGTTATGTTGTTGAAGGAGTAGATTTCTCCAGGTTTGGTGGTTTCGATGTTGCCTCCAGCTTCAGCGGCCAGATCCACCACCACACTTCCGGGTTTCATGTTGGCGATATGCTCCTAAAGGCGGAAATTGCTAAATTCATTCACATTATCTCAAGAGAGTTACAGAGACCTTAAGGATCAGCATGGGGGCCTTTTTGCCTGGAATGAGAGCGGTGGAGATGATAATGTCCACCTCTTTGCACTGTTTGGCAAACAGCGCGTGTTCAGCGTCGATGAACTCCTTGGACATTTCCTTGCTGTAGCCTCCCGAGTCGCCTCCTTCCTCCTACAGCACAACCATTAAAGAAACCCCTATTAGATCCAGAAAAGAGAGGATTGAAGAGGAAGGCAAAGCAACCAGTGGCTACTGGGAATAACTGGCCTCTCACCTCAATGGTGATAGTGAGAAACTCCGCCCCCAACGACTCCACTTGCTCTTTTACAATAGAGCGGGTGTCAAAGGCTCTGACAATGGCCCCCATGCATTTGGCTTGGCCAATAGCGGCCAGTCCTGCCACTCCCCCTCCAATCACCAGCACCTTGGCTGGGGGAACTTTGCCAGCAGCGGTGATTTGGCCTAAAGGGACACCAAGGGGTGAATCTCGGAGGGCGAGTGATTTTTTTTAGTACCTGATAAAAACCGAGGGAAATGACTGGCAGCTTCCACCACCGCTCTATAACCAGCTATGTTGGCCATTGAGCTGAGGGCGTCGAAGACTTGGGCTCTGGATATTCTGGGAATGCAGTCCATGGCTGGAAACATAAGAGGGTGGAGAAAATGCGGATGGTTTCCGAGGGAGTTTACCAAAGGCGTTGATTTTTCTCTCTCCTAGTTTCTGCACCAACTCTCCATTCTGGGCGGGGTATAGGAAGGAAATTAGAGTGGAATTTTCTCTGAAGTTTGGCACTTCCTCATTCAGCGGCTGTCTGACTTTCAAGATGATATCTGGAGGAAACTTGTAAATATCCAGGAGGTTTATAAAAAGGCATCCAGTTACCTGACTGGAAGATTTTCTGGTTATCCACCAGTTTGGCGCCAGCCTGCTCGTAGTCCTCATTTCTGAACTTTGCCAGAGCTCCGGCGCTCTGCTCAATGTTCACATTGAAGCCCTTTTTAACCAAAGTTTGAGCGACCAGAGGAGTTATTGCAACCCTAAAACCGTGGGTATGAAAGCAAAGTACCTTAGTCGGGTATTTTGGTACCTTTTTTCGTTTTTCCATATCTCTTTGGGCACTCCAATGGTCAACTGACTGTAAGGAGTTCCTCTAACTTCAGCTTCCTTCCCATGCAATTGGCCTTTGCTGAAGTGCCTCTTTGCCACATTTTCTAGCGCGGTGAGGTTTTTCAGTCGCAATTGGATCATTTGCTGTCGGTTAACGCATATTCTCAATATTCCCCTAGCCATTTTTCTAAGCAAACTGTTTCATATTTTCCTAAAACAAGTCGCGTTATTACCGCATTTGCTGATAAAAATTCTGGGTCAATTTTTATTTATGTAAATTATTTACACAGTGGCTCCAAAATGAATCCGTTTTAAATATGAGGCCGCGAAGTTGTTGAGCGAGAAATTTTCAACGCTGATTTTGGAAAACGCTTTAACATGTGAGTAAAAAATGATGGTACTTTTTAGACGCTCCTTAAAAATCAGTATCTGCACTTTTCTACCTAGTACCTGAATGCATTGTCTTTACCGTATAAAAATTTCAAGAAGTTAGTTGGTCTAGTTAGGAAGTTTTAATTTTTTAAGAGAGAGTGACACGCGGTTAAAATATTATCATTTTTGGGGCTTCTCAAAACTCATTGTCTGCGTATTTTTGTGCAACTTTTCTACCTCAAGTACCTTAATGCATTGTCTTTACCGCATAAAAATTATTTCAAGAAGTTAGTTGGTCTAGTTAGGAAGTTATAATTTTTTTAAGAGAACGTGATAAGTGTCTG